GCTGCCTCCTCCATGCAACTCCCTCTCCCCACTGGGGATCGGGCCCACAACCTGGGCTTGTGTCCTGACCGGGGATCGAACCGGCAACCTCTTGGTGCAGGGTCGACGCTCAGGGGCTCAGATTCTGGCCTCTGGGCAGACAGGGAGGACCAGGCTGACCACTAATGATCCCATGCTGCCCAGTCCCTCTTTTCTTGTTGTTAATCCTCACCGAGAATATTTTTCAATTGATTTTTTAGATAGAGTGGAAGGGAGGGAAGGGGGGAGAGAGAGAGAGAGAGAGAGAGAGAGAGAGAGAGAGAGAGAAACATCTATGTGAGAGAGACACATCGATTGGCTGCCTCCTGCACGACCCTGACCGGGACTGGGGATCGAAACTGCAACCCAGGTACGATGTGCCCTTGGCTGGGAATTAAATCCATGACCCTTCAGTCTGTGGGCCAATGCTCTAACCACTGTGCCACATCGGTCAAGAGAGGCCTACTTTTAAACCAGAATAAACTCCTGTTTTCTAATTTAGAAACTCTCAGTGGCCATGACCCCAGTCACCACCAACACCCGGGGGAAAGGTTCCTGCAGGGTTCTTGAGTGGAGGTCTCTCAAATTGCTCACACAGGCCCGGCTGGTGTGGCTCACTGGTTGAGCATCGACCCCTGCACCAAGAGGTTGCTGGTTCGATTCCCGGTCAGGACACATGCCCAGGTTGTAGGCCTGATCCCAGTGTGGGGCATGCAGGAGGTGGCCAATCAGTGTTCTCTCTCATCGATGTTTCTCTCTCTCTCCCCTTCCTCTCTCTCTAAAAATCAATTAAAAAAATTTTTTTAAACCACAAAAACAAAGTGCTCACACCATGCCCGAAGCAGCATCCCCTCCCTCCCAGAGTCGTGTGGAGCCCGGCAGCTACAAACAAGCCGGGCTACTTCCTCATGCCCGTCAGCTGGGGGGGCCACGCTTGAGGATGCCAAGGTGCTTGGTGATCCCAGAGATTTATAGCCAGCACCGTCCTGTGTTCCCACCACACACACCTTGTCCTCTGCTCCTCCCACCCTCTGAGGCATGTTGGGAAGGACAGGTACTGGAGAAAAGGGAACCCACAGAGCAGGCATTGCTGTGAGTACCCCCACTCCCAGGGTGCCCACCATGCATGGGGCCGTACATGGGCATGGCTCGTGTATCCCCCTCCTAAGCCATTACGACATGTGCCGTCATTTCTCCATGTGTCAGAAGGGGAAACTGAGGCTCAGAGAAGGGCAGCAGCTTTCCAGGGTCACACTGCCATGAACAGAGGGAGCCAGGATGAGAATCCAAGTCTGCCCGCTCCAGCGTCTAGGCGCCTCACCTCCGCGCTGAACTGAAGAGGGGGCTCAGCTTGTCTTGTCGGGGCTAAGAGAGGGCCAGTGACCTGGCCCAGGCCAGACAGCAAGTCAGTGGCAGAGGGGCAGCCCCCCAGAGGTCCCCATCAGACTCCCCGGCTCCTCGTCAAATGCTCTGGCCCTAGTCGGGAGCACCACGAAGGGCCTGCGGTTCTGAAATCACCTTCAGAAACAGCCAGCCCTGGGATGAGAGCAGGGGTCTGGAATGGGAAAGGTGAGGGCCCACTGGAGACCTCATCCCTTCTCTTGGTGTTAAAACAGAGTTGCCAGCCCAGCCAGTGTGGCTCAGTGGTTGAGCGTCGACCCCTGCACCAAGAGGTCACCAGTTCGATTCCTGGTCAAGGCACATGCCCAGGCTGTGGGCCTGATCCCCAGTGGGGGACATGCAGGAGGTGGCCAGTCGATGTTCTCTCTCATCGATGTTTCTATCTCTCTCTCCCTCTCCTTTCCTCTCTCTCTAAAATCAATAAAGAGAAAAAATAAATAAAACAGGGTTGCCAGAGAAAGTACAGGATGTCCAGGTAAATCTGAATTTCAGCTAGAAGAAGATTTTTAAAAAATACAAGTATGTGCCCTGGCTGGTTTGGCTCAGCGGTTAGAGCATTGGCCTGCGGTCCAGAGAGACCCGGGTTCGGTTCCCGCTAAGGGCACGTACCTCGGTTGCAGTTTGTCCCCGGCCCTGGTTGGGTTGTGTGGGTGGCAACCACTCAATGTGAACCTTTCACATCGATGTCTCTCTCTCTCTCTCTCTCTCTCTCTCTCTCTCTCTCTCTCTCTCTGTCTTCTTCCCACTCTATCTGAACCAAAAAATGGAAAAATGTCCTCAGGTGAGGATAAATTAAAAAAAAAAAATTACAAGTATGTCCCATGCAATATATTGGTCGTCCCTTATCCACAGCAGATATGTTCCAAGATCCCCAGCCTGAAACCATGGATAGTACTTATATATACCATGCTTTTTCCTGTACACGCATACCTATAATAAAGTCTAATTTATAAATTAAGCTCAGTAAGAGATGAACAACAGTAACTAATAACAAAATAGAACAATCATAACAAGATACTATAACAAAAGTTAGATGACTGGAGCCTCTCCTGTCTCGGAATATCTCATTGTGCTGATGTGAGGTGACGCGATGCCTATGGGAGGAGATGGAGTGAGGCGGCTCATGCCAAACAAAGGCATGATTCACGTCGCAGGCGGGATGGAGCAGGACGACGTGAGATACCATCACGTTGCTAAGAACAGTGCACAATTTCAAACTTATCAATTGGCCCGGCAGGTGTTGCTCAATGGCTTGGGTATTATCCTATGGACTGGGAGGTCCCTGTTTGATTCCCGGTCAGGGCACATGCCCAGGCTGTGGGCTCAATCCCCAGTAGGGGGCGTGCAGGAGGCGGCCGATCAATGTGTCTCTCACATCAATGTTTCTATCTCTCTCCCTTCCTTTCTCTCTAAAAAAATTAATAAAAATATACATATTTTTAAAACTTATGAATTGTGTATTTCTGGAATTTCCCATTTAATATTTTTGGACCACGTTTGATGACAGATAACTGAAACTGTGGAAAGCAAAACCGTGAATGAGGGGAGAATACTGCACTAAAAAAAAAAAAATTGGTGTTTATCTGAAATGCAGAGTTAACCAGGAGTCCTACATTTTCTTTTTTTTCCATTTTTTATTTATTTATTTATTATTATTATTATTATTTTTTATCCTCACCCGAGGATATTTTTCCATTTTTTGTACAGATAGAGTGGGAGGGAGAGAGAGGAAGGAGAGAGAGAGAGAAACATCGACGTGAAGGGACACATCAAGTGGCTGCCACCTGCACGACCAACCAGGGCCGGGGACAAACTGCAACTGAAGTACTTGCCCTTAGCGGGAACCGAACCCGGGTCTCTCCGTACCGCAGGCCGACGCTCTAACCGCTGAGCCAAACCGGCCAGGGCAGGAGTCCTACATTTTCATTTGCCCAAGTCTGGCAACCCTGTAAAGGGCAGGAGACGGGGGTGTGAAGTACAGCCCAGGGAATATAGTCATAATACTGTAATAACCATGTATGGTGTCAGGGGGTACTAGATTCATCGGGGTGATCACTTCCTAAGTTATATAGATGTCTAATCACTATGTCGCACACCTGGAACTAATATCATATTGCACGTCAACTGTGACTGAGCACTGGCACCCACTCCCTCCCAGGAGCTGCCCGCATCTTTCCCTCCCCCTCCTCTTCCCCACAGGCGGCACCTCCTAAACTCTCAGGGACACCCCAGACTCGCCACCAGGGGAGCAGCGGGCAGCGGCAGCTCGTCCGGGGCGAACCCCCGCACCTGTTCTCGAGGCCCCTTCTCTCGGATTTTCCCGCGAGCTGACAGCAGCCCCGCCTTGGCTACTTCTTCCCCGAAACATCTCTAGAGAGCCAAAGCCGCCCTGCCCCCTCTCCCCCCTGTTGCTTCGCTATCCTGGGCCCTTTCTTGTTTCACGGTCTTCAGCTTTAAGAAGCCTGTGCTCAAAATCAAATAAAGAAAAACAATTATTTATAAAAAGGGGGCAAGAGAAGATGAGATCTCTGCTGGCCACTTAGCTCTGAGTGAACCGACCCCACAGCAGGGCCCCCGGTACAACCTAAAGCCAAAGTCTGCCCTCCAGGCCCCTGGCTCTCCCTCCGCAGCCCTGTCCCTGGGCTCCGGGCCCTGCTGGAGAGAGCGTGGAGACGGCTTCTGGGGCAGAGGCCACCTGAGGCCAGGTGGGAAGCCGGGCCCAGCATTCACTAACCGGACTGAGAAAGTACAGGTACTGAGACCCAAGAGGGCAGTAGGACCCGGCCCTCTCTGGGAGGGGGTCCCCCCGAGCCCCACGTCTGCAGGGGTTCCAGCCCTGTGTGCACAGCGAGATGGAACGCACAGCTGGTCTGTCAGCACTGGGAAGGCTCGAGAGACCCGCAAGTCTAGCTCCATCAGTGGCCGGGTGGGGAAGCTGAGGCTGGGCCAGGTCCCTGGGCCTGCCCCCATCCGGGCAGAGCCAGGACAGGAAGGGTTTGGGCCAACAGGGGAAGCTGATGCTTCTGCTGCCCCTCACACGTCATCTCTGCCACCATTACCGCCGCCACCACCATCGTGACAAACACAAGCTCCGGTCGTCTTGCACGTTCTTTTTCTTTTTTAATTCATTGAATCATTCCCTAACCACTCCTCCTGATGCCTATCAGCCTGGTTAGTCTCCAAGGATCAAGTTGCCACACACCTCACCCCTCCACCTCACAGAGATGGGTCATTGGCAAGAAACTGAGGGACGCCCAGTCCTGCTTCCTGGCTCGAGAAACAGTTCATTGCAATGCTCCACACGAGTTCCACTCAGGCACCAGAACGCAGAGCCCAGGCCCAAAAGCCTGGCCCGGGGCTCGGAGCTGGAACCCTTATCCCGGGGCTCGAGGCCAGAGTCCTGACCCTGGAGCTCAGAAAACGGAGCCCCACGGTGGACCTGATACCCTAGTCCCTCCTTCCGAGCTCTGCAACCAACTCCATCTGCTCTGCTCTCAAAACAGGTGCCAGGCGCCCACCCCATTGCCTCGGGCCCTTCCGGTTCAGCCCTCTGCAGCCAGGGGGCGCCTCTCGGTTCTCACCTGCGAATGTCCACATACATCTTGACTCCCACCACACACACTGCATAGGTGGGCTTCTTCAGGGACAGCCGCACAGCAGTCTGTGGGGCCATGCTGTGCCCTGGCTCCCCAGGTCCTCCCCGGGCACCTCGTAGCCAGGAAGAAGCGTGAGTTCTGACGGGTCGGTGTTTTCCTCCTCCCTTTTAATTTCACCCTGAGACCTGATTAGCCAGCCTGAGCGAAGTCCCCACCTCCTGGCTCCATGCCCAGCCCTTCTCACTCAGGCCTGTCAATTCTGAGGCCCAGGGAGGAGGTCCCAAGGCCTCTGTCGGGGATGGAGAAGGGGGTTTCAGCTGGTGCCCAGGTGGGGAGCTTCCTTGCCAACAGAAGACTACCAAGCTCCCATCAGCCCCGTCCCCCTTCCCCAGCTCTGCCTCCACCCTCACTCTTGGTGACCCCACACTGCAAAGATGTCCACGTCGTCTGAGGGCTGACTGTGGACCAGGCGCCGGCTGAGCAGCGCACAGCTCTTACCCCGTGTGCTAGGAGAGCGGGCACGTATAAAGCGCTGCACACTCAGACTGCCTGCGCTCCAGAGCAACCGGAATCCCCTGCTCACAGGTCCGGGGTGCGAGGGTGGCAGAGGGAGACGGAGAAAGGAAAAACACCCCATGTCTGGGGAACTACCAGTCTGATGGAGCAGGAGGGGAACACAGCCTTTGCCCCCAGGAACCCCCAGCCGGATGCGGGAGACAAGAAATATAAAAATAGCATAAACATGCATTCGGTTACTTTGATTTTAAAGATCTTCCTGGAATGATCTTTCTTACTGCCAATATATCTGCTTACAAATATTCTTGATCTACAAAGTGTATTACCCCCAAAGGCACCCAGACAAGTCTAGGTTTGCCCATGGAAACAGAGCCCAGAGCATCAGTGCTTCAGGGATATGAGGTTCCCACCCAGCTCCACCCCCACCGACCAGGGCCAGAGTCGTTTTGTTCATATATAATGTAATGTGGAGTATAAAACCCTAATAGCACGTGGCATATTTCCATTAGAGAAAGATGGGTGGATGAGTGGATGGGTGGGTGGGTGGCTGGGTGGCTGGGTGGGTGGATGGGTGGATGGAGAGATGGAAAAGACAGGCTGGTGCATAAAGACCTGTCTGCAAAGATGATGATAATGGTGATGATGATGGCAACAATGGCATTGATGATGATGACAACGATGAGAAAATGCTAGCAGACACACATAGAGCCCTCACCACATGCCAGGCAGTGTTCTGCCCCTTCCATGTCTTGACGTATCTAATCCTCACGACACTACTAGTTGGCAGGTACGAATGGAGCCTAGAATCCCAAGTTCAAACAGCATGGGTGTGCAGGAGGTGCCTTTGCAGGTTATGGGCAGGGCAGGGGCTGGGCAGGTCATGGCGTCTTAAAAGAAATGTTCTCAGAGCCAGAGGAAGGAGGGGAGAATAGCAGAGAGTGGGCAGAGAAGCTGAGAGGAACATCAGTGCACCCCCGTTTTACAAAGGAAGACCCCCGGGCACTGAGACATTAAGGGACCTTTTCAAGATCCGAAGCATTACAGTGGCTGAGCTAGGATTTGAGCCCAGGCCACCGGGCCTTAGATGGGCTTGCAACTTTTGGCTAGATCTCTGGGAGGTAGAATATCAGTTCCTTTTACCTTCTTCTTCATGCTTTTGTGAATTGTTTGAACAGCTTTGGTGAGCAAACATTTTACTCTTGGGGAAAAAATAGTGTCCCTTTGAGGAAAAAGGAGAAGAGTTTCCTGTTCTGGTCTCCCCGCCCCCCCTTCTGCTATTTGCTCCCTGCCCCCCTTCCTCTTCCCCCCAGCTCTGAGAACATTTCTCTTAAGGCAGCATGACCTTCCCAGGCTCCTGCCCTGCTCAGAATCTGCAAAAGTCACCTCCTGCACACCCATGCTGTGGTCTACTTGAAATTCCAGACGTTATAGGTCAGATTTGGGAGGAGCGGGAGGCAGCAGAGCAGAATGACCTCATTGCCCCCTCTCCCCTGGGTAGAGCATGCTGCTGGAAGGGCCGGCCCAGATCAGCCTCAAAGGCAGCCCTGGGCAGGGGCGTGGTCTGCCAGCGGCGGGGTGACCCTGGGACTGTAGCCCGATTCCAGGATGTCCCCAGAACAACCCAGGAAAACCGCAGCGATGCTGGTGCTAACATGTCTGAGGTCTCAATCTCCCCGTTCTTCAGCAATTTGTTTAAAGGACCTCCCATGCGCCAGGCATTATTCTTGACCCCGGCGATACAATAGTGAATTTGACAAACCAAATCCTTGCCTTCAGAGGGCACACAGAGTAGCAAGAGGTGGACTAAACCACAGGGTAGAGACGAGGATGTCAGGAGGGTGAGACATGAGGAAGCAGGGGACAGGGGCTGACTGGGTGGGTGCTGCTGGAGCGGCCTAAGCAGGTCAGGCTTACCCGGAGACATGACAATGGACAAGAGATGGGAAAATAAAACCTTGGTGTTGTCACGGGTTCTCCCAACCTCAGATCACCTAGGACTCCATTAGTCTAGAGGTACCCCCTGTCTTTCTATCTACCAATGGTGGTGTTGAGCTAGATCAGAGTTTCCAAGCTCAGATGCCTTCAGGACTCAGGCAGACAGCACAGATGTGGGAAACTGTCAAATGCAAGACAATAGGGAGGAGTAAAAACTGTGGCAAAGGGCACAGAGCCTGCTTTGGCCATGCACTGAAATTTGACATTTCTTGCCCGGCCAGTGTGGCTCAGCGGTTGAGCGTCAACCCATGCACCGAGAGGTTGCCAGTTCGATTCCCGGTCAGGGCACATGCCCAGGTTGTGGGCCCGATCCCCAGTGGTGGGCATGCAGGAGGCAGCCAACTGATGTTCTCTCATCGATGTTTCTAGCTCTTTCTCCCTCTCCCTTCCTCTTTCTCTAAAATCAATAAAGAAAAAAAATTCAAAATGTTTAAAAAACAGAACACTATGGGTCAAGCAAAACCCATCTGTAAGTCAGACCCGACCCTTGGGTAGTTAGTTTCAGACCCCAGCACTGACTACGGATTGGTGGGATAGGAGGGTGACGGAGAGAATAACTGGTTGAAGTCATTTGATGCTGATGAGAAGTCACCTGGGCCCAGGTGAGCCTTGCCACCGTCAGGCATGGAACCCACCTACCTCAGGCCTTGTGAACATGATTGCTGACACCAGCTCTTGCACTCTGGGGGACCCCCGCCCCAACATATACACAGCCTGTGTCTGAGCTTGCTTGAGACAGCCACTGAGGGAGGGCGGGTCAGCAGAGCCAGCCCCGTGGCCTCGGCCCCTCCCAGGGCCTCCACAGGGACAGTGCTCTTCGGAGTTCTCGACTTCAGCTGGGAGGGCCCCTGCAGACCATCACCCAGCCCTAGTGTGCAGCGGGGTAGAGCAAGGCTCAGACGGTGGTGACACAGGAAGTCACGGGAAGCCAGGTCTGCATCCAAGGCTGCGTTCTACTGCTCCAAGGACGCGGAGCCCGGGCAGCTCCAACCGCTGCTGGTGCTCACAGGGGCCACGGGGTCTCGGCCCCTCCTCTGGCCTCAATACACCCGGAAAGGGCCAAAGTGTCCTGTCTGGCCTGCTGGCCCCGCACAGAGCCCTGAGGGCAGGAAGGCTCACGAGACACCTATTCCCAGCTGCCCCACCCCAGTAGGATCCTGTGGGCATCGGCTGCCCACCTCTGTCACTCTGGCACCTTCAAGTCCTGAGCCTCCCAGAACGTGCGCCCAGGCCACCTGCCCACTGGCATTGGCCTGGTCTGAGTTCCGGGGCTACTCTGGGGGCAGAGGCCCAGCCCAGAAAGGGGCTGGGGTGGGGCGGGGGGGAAGTAGGGGCAAATACTTTCCTAGAAAATCAAAGAAAGAGGAGGCTTTAGACATAAACCTGGAAGTCTGTGGGTTCACATTAAAGACAGATAAAAGAGCCCTGGCCAGTTTGGCTCAGCGATTAGAGCGTCGGCCTGTGGTCCAGAGAGACCCGGGTTCGGTTCCCGCTAAGGGCACGTACCTTGGTTGCAGTTTGTCCCAGGCCCTGGTTGGTCGTGCGGGTGGCAGCCACTCGATGTGTCCCTTCACGTCGATGTTTCTCTCTCTCTCTCCCACTCCATCTGAACAAAAAATGGAAAAATGTCCTCGGGTGAGGATAAAAAAACAACAACAAACAAACAGATAAAAGAGCCCTGGCCGGATACCTAAGTGGTTAGAGCATCGGCCCGCGGACCAAAGAGTAGTGGGTTCGATTCTGGTCAAGGGCACGTACCTCAGTTGTGTTTTGATCCCCAGACCTGGTTGGGGTCGTGTGGGAGGCGACCAATCGATGTGTTACTTTCACGTCGATGTCTCTCTCTCTCTTTCTCCCCCACCCCCAACTCTATCTGAAAATCAACAAAAAATATCCTCTGGTGAGGATTAAATAAATAAAATAGATAAAAGAGTAGGCACTCGGGACCAAGCAGAGGGGGGGTTCCAAGCCCATCTGCTCGCCCCCCCCCCCCAGCAGTCCCTACAGCCCTCGTGAGGGGTCTGGGGCCCACAGCTCCTCTCAGAAAGCCTGTTTGTCACCAACCATCAGCCCAGAGAGGATCAGCACTCGGGCCAAGGCCGCACAGCCCATTCTCCGAGGAGGACAGAAGGGCCACTGGGGAATAGGGGTCAGCAGCCAGGTAGGCTGTCTACAGTGGACGGAGCCCTGGCCCATCGCTTTACTGGCTGCGTGACCACAGGCAGCCACTTGACCCCCGGGACTATTTCAGCCTTCTCTGCAGAATGGGGCGTGTTGTTCTGGGCTGACTTTGCAACACACACCTTGGCACCTTCCAGGTGGGGGCCGTGCTTATCCGACCCACTCTGCAGAGGAAGAAGCTGAGGTGATGTCTGTAAAGCATCCATCATGGCCCGGCCCTCAGGGCATACTAGTCCTGTTCCTCGCAGTCCACCTCCTCCGGGAAGCCCTCCCAGGTGGCTCTGGCTCCCAAGGAGTGTCCTGTTCTCTAAGCAGCCCCCACAGGCTCTGCCCTGGGAAGCCACCTGCTTCAACCCCACTCTCCTCGTCACTCTGGCAAGACTGCATATTTCAGAGGGGCAGGGAGTGGCCAGGCCTTCAGCTCTGGGGGGT